CGGGCTGGGGGACACCCCCTCCCCGCAGAGTGCACAAATTTTTGTGCACCGGGCCTTTAGTCCTATATAATAAAAGGCTAATATGCAAATAGAACGAATGGAGAAACAACCGAACAACCAAACAACCAGTCGTGCGTAACATGGTAGGCGTAGGCAGCAGCCGGCAGAGTGCGGAACATGGGGGACATCAGCTGTGGCAGGATGGTGGAGCAGGTGAGCGGGGGCGCCAGACCAAGGTGGGGTGCCAGTTTTCATCCTGTCATCAGGGCGAGACTCTGATGGTTACTGAAAATTCTTTGCTCCCTCCTGCTGAGGTTCTGCCCGGCGCCCGCACCTGCTGCCAGCACCAGAGCCTCTGCTCGCACCCACTGCTGGAGCCCAGTGCTGTCAGCAGGTGTGAGCAGTGGCTTCCAGCTCAGATCACCCCTCAGGGCTTCTCCAAGTCTCCCTGCTCCTGAGGGGCAATCATGGCAGCGACTGCCACTCGCACCCGCTGATGGCACCAGTCCTGCTCACACCCACTGCTGGCGCTGGCCCCAATCGCTCTGGGGCCGCCACCATCAGTGCATGGGAGTGGCAGGAACAGGGCTGCCAGCAGACAGGGGACCAGGGGCCACGGCGGGAGGGGCCGGGTAGGGGTGCACAGGATGGGCTGAGACCCACCCCTGTGCCCACTGCAGCCTTGCAGCCCACAGTTCCTTTCAAGGTGCACAAATTCAAGCACTGGGGCCCTAGTATATAGATACACATGGATTAATACCCTCTGAGAGAAATCTAGAAACTAGTTGGATAGCCCCTACACATTGGTAAACTGAGATAATAACAACTTAAATGTGGTTTTAAAAGTCAGAAAGATGCTCTGGCTATAAACCTCAAATCCCTGCCCAGCAACTTACAATTGGGAGGGAACCCTCAACTCCCAGCATTCCCATGAGGAGGGAAGGTTTGGGGTAAAATTAGTACCATACCTTTTAAGGATGCCACGGAAGGGAAAGACCCTCAAATCATCCAGCTCCAGTAGCCAATGGAGTTTGTGTTCATCAATCCCACAGAGCTGGAGCAAACAAAGAAGCAGTGGCTAAGCAGGTGTTTGAGCACTCACCCACATGGCTATGGCTCATGCTCAGTTCAGAGGGAACAGACATAAATGACCATCTCCCGGCTTCTCCCTGGAAGGGGTTTGACTGCAGGTTTCCCTTGTTTCTAGCTTCTAATCAGCTGGCACGTGGGATCAGATTGGAATCCTCATGAGAGCCTTATAGGACAGGTGAGCGTGTCCCTGGCTGTTTCCCGCCGGCTGGCTACAAAAGTGAAACCAAGTCTCCAGCTTCTCCCTGGAAGAAGTTGTCCACCCATCTGACATCCCAATTATGGCTCCCACCTGAGGGGACTGGCTCCCAAATTACCTCAGTCTGGAAGCTGACAGGGCTCACCATTCATGAGTCACCCAGGACCACACCAAAATAAAGGGTTACTTCTATTCAGACACAAAACACTGCCAGCCACTCTTCCCTCTGGCTCAGCACAGAGTGGGTGTTCCCTGTCACAGGGTAGACTGCATATCCAATGTCCTCACTTTCCAGGCTGCTGCCTGGAGGCGGAGCTTCCAATTTGCCTGCATCAAGGAGCTGAAGGGGCAGAGCACTGACAGACCCATGGACATTTTCCAAGCATTTGGATGCCGTAGATATCTGTAAGTATGATAGCAACTTCTATTGAAGTCAGTGAGGAATACTGTTAATTCACATTTGACTCTTGTTTTTATGAATTTGCATTAATACCAGTAATAGAGGTAAATTTTGCTTCCATCTCACTGTTGTAACTACATTTCTCTCTCTCACTGAAGTGAGCATATATGAAGTCAAGTGAGTGAGACTGATTTTATAAGAAGGAAGCTTCCATTACCGTGATTTATTGTTATAAATTAGTTTTCACATACATTCCTATTTTAACTTGTTTTGGTAGGAGATTTGATAAAGCATAAGTCATAATTGATTGAGGCATATTAATGAGTCATGCCATCACTGTCCAGTTACCTTGATACACAGTGTTGTGCAATACTTCTGATATAGGAGACGATAGAAATGTTGGGCATTAATGTACCAGGGATCTGTTATTGTAAAAACATTCAAAACTGTAAAGAATTTTTGTGAGTTTATTTGAGCCAAACTATCGGCAGTTGCCAGGAAGCAGAATCTCAAAGGATTGGGATAATGCTCCAGAGAATGGCAGTTTTTCACCTATTTTTATATATTGCATCAAAGAAGGAAATGGAAATGGGTTACATAAAATCCACAGATTAAGGAGGCGGAGAAAGCAAAGC